CAGGGCTTCTTCTTCCTCACCTCTGCTCAAGCCCCCCTGTCCCCGCAGTGACATGTCAGCAAATACACAGATAAATGAATGCAACAGATGCATAAGCAGACAGATGCCTTGACTTTTGATGCCACTGGTTCCCCGAAGGCCGTGGTGTTGCCTCCGGCCCCCTTTCCTCACATCTGGCCTCATACATTTCTGCAGTGAAAGCATGGTGCCGGGTGGGTTTAACAGCACCTCCTTTCGCAGAAACGCCCCAGACTTGGAGAAGCTGGAAGTGCCCTGGAGCAGGTGGGGAGGGTGGGTACTGGAAACAGTGGACCACTGTCTGCCACTCACGGCCCCTTCATGACCTTCCACTTCCCGCCCTTAGCGGTCCCTCTGCCATGTCCCCACATGTGTGACTGTCCACCTGAATAGCAGCTTTGTGACTGCATTGACTACCATGGGCACATCCCCGCACTCCACCCCACAGCACTCATCCACCTGGAGTTGGGGCAGGTGAGCTCGGCCAGACTTTAGCAATAAGGAAGGACCCTGATTTCCAAGGTGCAACAGAAGACAAGTGGGAAGGTGCAGGTGGGAAGGGGCAGGTGGGAAGGGACGGGTGGGAAGGGGCAGGTGGGAAGGGGCAGGAGGGAAGGGGCAGGTGGGAAGGGACGGGTGGGAAGGGGCAGGTGGGAAGGGACGGGTGGGAAGGGGCAGGTGGGAAGGGACGGGTGGGAAGGGGCAGGTGGGAAGGGACGGGTGGGAAGGGGCAGGTGGGAAGGGACGGGTGGGAAGGGGCAGGTGGGAAGGGGCAGGTGGGAAGGTGCAGGTGGGAAGGGACAGGTAGACGGCAAGCAGAAGCCACCCACGGAGGGAGCCCCAGAAGCCAAGGCCACCTCACTGAGCCGCGGCTCCAGACGCTCAGGCAGAGCAGCCGGGTCGCAGCACTGGCCCCTGCCCAGCTCTACAACCTCCTGGCGACACTGGCTTTCTGCCCTGCTCCCTGTCCTTGGGATCCTTCTCATTCTCCTTTAAGGAGCTACAACACTGCGCTAGATATGTTCCTTAGCTTTACTTTCTGGCTTTTGACATCCAGCTCAATATGTCGGGAGGTTCCGCCAGGGAGTAAGTCACATGCCAATGCATGACACTATACACGGAATTTCAATGGCTTGTCGGAAGACGTGAAATGTGTTTTTAAAATTTAGTCCATGAGAGAACAATGTGTCCTCCATGAAGCAAAGCCTCCTGTGGGAGCATGGCTAAATCATGAGCACACTGCCCTCGATCAGCACAGAGACTCTACGGAGGAAGCCGCTCCCCATCCCGGAGACGCGCCCACACCGGGTCCGGGACACACTGGGATGCAGCCACAGCCAGGCAAATGCAGTGACCGCATGGAGTGACCACAGCGGCTCTGAAAACGCTCCCTTCCCCAAGCCCGCCACATCGTGTGAGCCGAGCTCAGGAGGAGACAGACTCCTCCACACCTCGAGGTGTCACCACACTGAGCCTCATGACCAGGAGGAAACGGAGACGCAGACAGACAGTGCGGCAGAGAGCAGGGAGCACAGGGGAGGGGATTCGATGACAGCTCCGTGGGAAGCACCATGTTAGGTGAGGGACCCCAAAGGGTGTGGGCACACGCACATCTGTGTGTTTGTACGCATGTGCATGTGTATGTCTGTAGGCACGTGACATGTGTGCACACTGGTGTATGTGTGGTAATGTGTGTGTGCATCTGTGTGTATGCACATGGAGGTGGGGGAATGCACATGGATGGATATGTGGGTGTGCACATGCGGTCCTGTGTGCACAGTGGTGCCTGTGTTGCTGAACATGTGGGCATATGGATGCGTGTTTGTATATATGTGCACAGGGATGTATGTGTGTTGGTGTTAGTGTGTACATATCTGTTCAGGTATGTGTGTGTTTGTACATGTGTGTGCATCTGTGAGTCCACGTGTGCTCATTTGTGTGTGCATATGCATGTGTGTGCATGTGTGGAGTGAAGCAGTGCCAGCAGAGCTCTCACAGTAAGGACTGTTACTGGCAGATCGGGAGCAGCAGTGCAGAATCTAAATACACCAAACCACCCACCTTCACGCTCACATGCAGGTGACCTGGGCCCTGTCCCACACATGGGCACCACCAGACCATGAGTCCGCGCACACAGCTGCAAAAGGAGGGGTGACACATGCCGGTGGCCGAACACCCGCCACCTGGGTCAGCCGGTGCTCACTGAACACACAGACCCCGGGCCCAGCCCCAGTCCCTGTCAGACACTGGGGACGGGTGTTCCGGGCATGTATAGGAGGCAACCGATCTAGGTTGCTCTCTACAGTCGATGTTTCTCTCCTTCTCTCTCTCTCTAAAAAAAAATCAATAAAAACACATCCTCAGGGGAGGATTGCAAAAAGAAGAAACTGCTTTTGGCCTGCACCAGACTTTCATAGGCACTGAACACGAGACGGCATGCCACCCAGTCACCAGGGGACTTCACTGGGTTATTATGGTTCTGCATGACCCCAGCCATAATGCGGAGGAAACGGGTCTCCGCAGCCGACTCGCTCTGACCCACAGACCCTGCCAGCAGCTGGCCACCTACCTCACCCTCACTCTCCAACCCTCACCCTCACCCTCACCCTCACCCCCACCCTCTAACCCTAACCCCCACCCTCTAACCCTAACCCTCACCCTCACCCCCGCCCTCTAACCCTCCACCCCACCCTCTAACCCTAACCCTCACCCTCACCCTCAACCCCACCATCTAACCCTAACTCTAACCTTAGCCCTCACCACACCCTCTAACACTAACTGTACCCTAATCCTAACCCTCAACCTCACCCCACCCCCACATCTACCCTCTAACCCTAACCCTAACATTTAACCCTAACCATAACCCTAAACCTAACCTTCTAACCCTACCCCTAATCCTCACTCTCACCCTGTTTTAACCCTAACCATAACCCTAACCTAACTTCACCCCTACCCTCTAAACCTAACCCTCACCCTCACCATCACCTTAACCCTAACCCTCTAACCTAACCCTAACCTTAACCCTCTAACCCTCAGCCTCAGCCTCACGCTCACCCTTAACCATAACCCTAACCCTGTAACCCTAACCCTGTAACCCTAACCCTAATGCTCACCCTTACCCTCATCTTTACTCTCAGCCTCAGCCTCACCCTTACCCTTAACCATAACCCTAACCCTGCAACCCTAACCCTCTAACCCTAACCCTAACCCTAACCCTAATCCTAACCCTCTAACCGTAACCCTCACCTTCACCCTTAACCCTAACCCTAACCCTCTAACCCTCAGCCTCAGCCTCACGCTCACCCTTAACCATAACCCTAACCCTGTAACCCTAACCCTAACCCTCTAACCCTTACCCTCATCTTCACTCTCAGCCTCAGCCTCACCCTTACCCTTAACCATAACCCTCACCCTCTAACCCTCAGCCTCACCCTCACCCTCAGCTTCCCCAGCTCCTGTGAGGCTGGCTTCTGCAGGAGCTCGGTGCTCCCACCCTCCTTGTCCTGGATGACCCGCCCCATCCATCATCCCCCCAAGGCCTGCCCTGCAGACTTCCGGCCCAGGCGCAGACCACAGCCTGGCTGAGACGCTCAGTGGCTCCCCCACCTGTGGCCGGCCAAGCCCCGTAGCTAATCACGGACAGGACCTGAATGCGCCCACTTCTGCTGAGCCCTGCCACTCAGCACTGCCCGGCCCTTAAGAAACCACGCTCACTGCAGACACCCGGGGGAGCCCAGCCAGTTCTGTTCCCCTTACTCACTGGACCACACACGTCTTCCTCTGGAGCCACACACAGCCCGAGAGAGCCCAGGACCCACAGTGGCATGGAGGCCCCACTCTAGGCCTGGCCACCACACGAGGCTTCACCCCACAAGCCCCTCCCATCGCTCCCCACATGCTGAGCTGAGTTGGCCTGAGCCCCCCCACATGCTGAGCTGAGTTGGCCTGAGCCCCCCACACGCTGAGCTGGATCGGCCTGAGCCCCCCACATGCTGAGCTGGGTTGGCCTGAGCCCCCCACATGCTGAGCTGGATCGGCCTGAGCCCCCCACATGCTGAGCTGGATCGGCCTGAGCCCCCCACATGCTGAGCTGGATCGGCCTGAGCCCCCCACATGCTGAGCTGGATCGGCCTGAGCCCCCCACATGCTGAGCTGGATCGGCCTGAGCCCCCCACATGCTGAGCTGGATCGGCCTGAGCCCCCCACATGCTGAGCTGGATCGGCCTGAGCCCCCCACATGCTGAGCTGGATCGGCCTGAGCTGGATCGGCCTGAGCCCCCCCACATGCTGAGCTGGATCGGCCTGAGCCCCCCACATGCTGAGCTGGGTTGGCCTGAGCCCCCCACACACTGAGCTAGGAAGTGAACTGAGTGCATAAACCGTATATTTAATCTGATGGCTATTAATACAAATAATTCTGTGTAGCCCAAATCTAATCAAAAGTGGGTGAATATTTAATTAATATTCACCCCCCTACATGCTGAGCTGGGTCGGCCTGAGGCCCTCTCCCCACCATGCTGAGCTGGGTCGGCCTCTGGTCCAGGCTCGTGCATATGTGAATTATAAATAACAGTTCTACATCATAATGTTCAAGTTATTGAAAATTAAAAATTATCTGAGCAAACAGTTAACAGGACTCCCCTGTGGAAAACTGTAGGACAACAATTTGCCCACAGCGGCAGAGCGGTGACTGCTTTTCTCCGTGATGGGCGGTGGGGCCGGATGGTCACCCGGTGAGCAGCCCCCACCTGCCCGCCGGCGCCCGCTCGCCCGCGAAGCGCTGCAGAGCGACTGTGGATCTGCACACCGCAGCCGCCCGCCCGCCTCTCCCGCAGGCGCTCCTGCTCCAGCCTCTTCTCCCCGCCACTAAGTCGGTCCTACTTCCTCTCGACCCTCAGAATTCTGAGAAGCAGAGTGTCGCTGAGCCCTGAGCGCTGCGGGGACAGCGGCCCCGGGAGCCCCCCGGCTCCATTCCTGCCTACCTGCGCGGGACAGCTGCAGCAGGGCGGCCCTCAGACGCTGCTGGGCCCCCGGCGACACCTCATAGTGGTAGACATCTGTCACCGGAACCTTCTGGCACCTTCCAAACACTCCGTCTGTGAGAAAAAGGGAGGCAGAGAAGAGAAAGTGATGTTTCCTTTTCAGAGAGGAGGAAGGCATTACACCCTCACTACACCGTGGCCAGGCTTCGCAAGGGCTTCAGAACATCATCACAGCTCTCAGATGTCAGGGCACTGTGAGAGCAATGGCTTATCTGAGTAAGGACAGTGTACCATGGGCCATGGGCCATGGCCATGGGCTGTGAGAGTGGGCCGTGGGCTGTGGGTGTGGGCCGTGGCCATTGGCCGTGGGCTGTGGGCCGTGGGTGTGGGCCGTGGTCGTTGGCCGTGGGCATGGGCTGTGGGCTGTGGGCCGTGGGCCGTGGTTGTTGGCCGTGGACATGGGCCGTGGGCTGTGGGGAACAAAGGCAGAGCTGGAGAGAGGCTCAAGAACCCAGAGCCACTTGGGTTTTTTATTCGCGTTCCCATCCCTTCCTCCCCACCTCCCCACCCCTCACTTTTTGTAATTTCCACGCAGTGACATTCAGAACTGGTTTTCCAGATGAGAAACAGAACCCCCAGGAAGGGTAATGTTAACTTGCAGAAGCCACGAGGCCCATGGATGCCTCCCACAGCGCCACGCGGGAGGCGCTGACGTGGGGTGGCCTGCGCACCAGCCAGGGTGAGGGCTTTCTGAGAACCCAGCAGCGGTGCTGGCCGAGCAGGGCGCATTCCGGGACAATCCCGCAGCTCCCACCCTCTGTCCGAAGGAGGACCTGCTCCTCCACGTCCCTCCCAGCCACACCCCGTTCCTTAGGCCCTGGAACCACTGGCTGAGAGACAAGCTTCCTGTAGGGCTCCACACATTCAAATCGCCACCTTCTCCACCCAAAGGCCCAATGGGGACCGTGCTGCCCACACAGGGTGGCCATCTGCAGCTTCGGCCGGACGGAAACGCGTCCCTCATTGTTCGCCCGCGTCCCTGCCGGGGCAGCTGAGGAAAGCCTCACTCGCACAAGTCTAATTAGCAGCCGCGCACTGCCGGGGGCACACATGTGCTTGGACCAGGGGTCCTCAAACTACGGCCCGCGGGCCACATGCAAATACAAATATTGTATTTGTTCCCATTTTGTTTTTTTACTTCAAAATAAGATATGTGTAGTGTGCATAGGAATTTGTTCATAGTTTTTTTTAAAACTATAGTCCGGCCCTCCAAAGGTCTGAGGGACAGTGAACTGGCCCCCTGTTTAAAAAGTTTGAGGACCCCTGGCTTGGACTGACGAGCCCTGTCCTTAGCAGAGTCATCTGAAGTGTCGCACGCATCACTGGGACTTCTGTGGGACTTTGCAAAGCCCCGTGACTCAGCACACCTCTAACCACAGTGCATGGAGGAGTGCACCGTCTGCCGGCCCAAAATTCACGCATCTGCCACCCACCCAGAGGTGGTGACAGCTCCTACAGGGAGGGTCTCGTCCCCACGCCGCCAGCACGCTGGCCTGTCTGCGGCGAGCACACCCTCCACAAGTGCCCTGTTCTCTGGTTTGGTTTTGTACCAAGGACTCCGTGCCTGTGGGTGGTGTGCTTGTGGGGGGCACAGACGGGGGGGGGGGGGGGGGGGCAAAGGGGAAATGCACTCTTCAGAATGTCCTGGAAGCTCTCGCTTTACTTGTCAAATGGAAATATTGTGACAGTAGAATCGTAGTGTGGGGACCAGAAAAAGCACTGAGATGGCCCAGCCCACATGGTATAGATGGGGAAACCGAGCCGGAGTGTGGGGACGAGGCCAGGGAGGGGGGGGCAGCAGC